AATATACCAGTCAAATATCCAAGCGATATTGTGATATGTTTGACTTGGTCAAACACCTTGAATCATATACAATCGGTTACGATATAAATTTGATTAGTTTATAATAAATTAATTAATTTATATTGTATAGATTAAATATATATATTAAGTATATATATTTAGAATTAATTGTGATTAATTCTGGATATTAAATTCAGATATCATGATATCATGAGATAAAGATATACTTATATATCTTATCTCATATTTTATCTGATGGGCTTAGTGGATATTTTTGGTTACCCAAAATACCCCTGACAAAAGCTATATATAGAGGTTTCCTCTCATCAGTTCAAATCACTCCAGTAGTTGATCTTTCCTACTATCTCTCTCTCTTATTTCTTTCTTGCAAAAAGGTGCTCTGCTGTGCACTCAAAAGCTTAGACTTTTATAGTCTAGCTTAAGCGTGAGCTAAGAGGATCTAACCGACCCGAACCGAGACTCGACCTAGTATGTTTCCTGATCCGTTATAGGTTTTATTTAACAACTTAGATAGAACATTCAGAGTCTAGACTAAGGGAAGCAAATTCGAGATAAGAGGATCGCAGAAAATAGAGGAACAAATGAAAAATAAACTAAATCCAATAATAAAGTAAAGATAAATTCTATAACTAGCATGGATTCAATTTAAGAAACCATTTAAAGGGAGAGAGACTTGCGCAGATCCAGTTAAAAAAAAAAAGAGAAGAAAATGGAAGCCGGGAAATATATCAGATGAGCAGGTGGGATGGAGCTGGAATTTAAGGTTTTTTGATGGACGAGCTCATGCAACTCATATTAGGGAGGTCGCGAGAACAGCGGGGAAGGAGAAGATGTTGACTGACAGTTATAACGGTGTTTGTCTTATTTAACAGTAGGAATTAATCAACCAAACAGAAGAAAATTGAAGGATCTAATAAAAAGAAGACCTCCAAATTAATTTTTCCTAATTTTCTCAATCTTTCCGTTTTTTCCCAGTTAACGCAAACAAGCCATTAGGATAAGTTAAAATTATGCGGAACATACAAAGGAAGAATCGGAGCGTTTACGTTACTTGACCGCAGTCATGTGAGAAGAACAGGGGGGACGCACCCCCTACGTCTCATCATGCGCATGCCCACATGGCCACATCATAAAGCAAATTACGGACTTTACTTCTTTTCTCCGGTCGAATTATGATGCATTACATTTCCAATATGATAATTTCATGAGCATCATGAAAGTAAAGAGCAAAATTATATAAAAACTTAAAACCATTAATTTTATTTTTATATACATATAATATCCCAAAATTTTTACTTAATTATATTTTAACTCTCTGATTAAACTTTAAGTCATCCGTAAAAAAATAATAAAAAGTAATAGTGTGAAAGTTTTATGCAAAGTTTAATGAGGTTTGTTGTAAACTTTTAAAAAGTCTAAACAATGCCACTAACGGAGGATAGTAATTATAAAAAAAGACAGGGACACATCCCAGGAAACACGCATTAAAGACTAAACTCTACCATATTTTCACGCGTTGCTTTCCATTCGTGTTCACTTTTTCAAAGAAAGCTGCCACACTTGTAAGCACTGGGAGGGAGCCTTGGTTTATTCAATAGAGGGGGCTTTTCATTTGTGTATTACTTTTATTTGGAGTATTGGTGTTTTTGGAATGGGGTTCATAATTGCAAATTAGTCATGAAATTTGCCTATCTTTTCAAAATCCAAAGTAAAATTAATTAGGAGGGGAGTCTGAACCCTCCATTTTTCTTAATTTAAGGGTAAGTTTGAAATTTTGAGATAAAAAACTAAAGAAAAGGAAAAGGAGAGAATCTGTACCCTTTATTTTCTCTCTAATTTTTTAAACAAATTATTTAGGATACGTCAAAGTTGTACGGACCACATCAAGAGGGGAATTGGAAAGTTTAGGTGTTGACTTAACCGGGATCATGTGAGAAGAAATTTTTTTTGTTTTGGGGTGGGGCGGGAACCATCGCAAGTGACGCACTTGCACATCAAGCAAATCGCGGGCTTTGCTTTATTTTCTACGGTCAAAACGTGATGAACTCCATTTTCAATGTGATTTCCCATGGGATTATGGATTTATAGGCAGTTAAAAATTTTCTTGGCTTCATGTTGTTTCAGGACCTTTTTTTTTTAAAAAAAAAGAATATACTACAAATAGCTTTATTCGATTGTACACCAAACAAAATTGCCTTTTGCTCAGCCCCCCCTAAAAGGAAAAAAACTACTTCTCTGTTTCCTTCCAATGCCCAACTTGAAAGTAAATATATGGAAGACTTGACTAAAAATAAATGCAGTGATAATCACCATGATACTTATTGAATCTCAACTGTTCAAATTTAATATGGACGGTTGAGATTTATTTTTTATATATTTTTTTCTAAAAAATGTTTTCTTTTCATACGCAGATAATCCCAAATAAATGTAATATTTTAATTGTAAATTTTTAGAAAAAAAATTTGATTTAAAATTTATTTGTTAAAAATTTTAAATCTTGACTATTAAAACTATATTTGAATAGTATATATTTTACCATGGCAATGAGTATTATGATACTTATCATTGCAATAAGTACAAAATTGGTTCCACAATTGATAGAGGGTAGTAATTATAAATAAACAAACCCTAGCGGTGTGGTTGAGTGGTAGGGGTTCATCCTCCCTTAACCAAGTATTGAGGGTTTGATTCTTACCTTGAGTATGGAAAAGCTTTAAAATTCCGAGCCAACTGTCCCACACATTGATGTGCTCACAAGCTAATGAAGGGATTAGTCACCAGATCCTCCAATGGATAACCTAGTGTTTCACCCAAAAAAATTGTAAATAAACAAATATGATCTTCTATTATTTCAATTCTCCCCTCATTTCTTTTTCTTCTTTACAAAAGATGGTATTTTAACAAGAATTAATGGTATTTATAATTTATTTTTCAATTAACTCGCAGATTCAAATTTCTTTTGTTCCCTCTTTTATAGATCACGCGTTTTGTTTGGAAACTCATTAAAATTAATAAGTCACCCATCATTCAAATAAAACCAATTTTTTGGTGGTTGTTGCAAAGATGCAGTGGTTCAAATCCGTTAGGCTAATTTGTGGGGAAAAAATGGGAATATACTGTGGGGAAAAAAAAGCTGGTTAGGCAAGTCAAAAGTGATCACTGGCCTGTCGTGGCGAGGGAAGGAGCATGGAAGGAAGACCGTGGACCCTTTCAGCCTTTTCTCATTCTCGAGGCGGCCTCCAAACAACCTTTCACAATAAGTAGGGCTTTTAGCTCTCTTCCCTCACTGCAGAAAAAGAGAGAGGAAAAGAAGGAGAAAAGAGGAAGACAGAAAAGGAACAGAGAGAAATTGTGAGAAACTTGCACGGAAATTCTAGTTTCAGCCATCTAATAACACCATCAAGAAGGTAAACACTTGAAAGCTTGTATATATAAAGCATTAGAGCTCAGACACTTCACCTCTAGCTATAAGCCCAGGTCAGTATATCATACATCTACAACTTCCCCTATTTTTCTTTTCCATTTTTTCCTTTGCAATCTGATCATCTCCTATTTCATTTTTTTCCTTTCGTCAAATGAAATAGTCTAGTTGTGTTGCAGGTCGTAATATTGCTGGTTCTTCAAATTATTGGCTTAAACATTTATGGCAAGTAATCAAGGAGGATCTTCTTCAAACTCTTCCAACTCCAATTCAACCCAAAGAACTTGGAAGTATGACATCTCTTGAGTTTTAGGGGTGAAGACACTCGTAAAGGCTTCACTGACCACTTGTACCATGCACTAGATAAGAGTGGGCTTAAGGTTTTCAGAGATGATGAAGAACTTGAGAGAGGAGAAGTCATTTCCAAAGAACTCAAACAAGCAATTGAGGATTCTCTATTTGCAATTGTTGTTCTCTCAAAAAATTATGCCTCTTCTTCATGGTGTTTAGATGAGCTTAAACATATTCTTTACTCAAGAAACAATTGTCTCAACAAGTTTCCCCATATTTTATGATGTAAATCCATCTGACGTACGGCATCAAAGAGAAAGTTTTGCCGAAGCTTTTGCTAGGCATCAAATGCTTCAAAGGGACAATGAGGTCATGAAATGTTGGAGAGATTCTCTCAGGGAGGTTTCAGACTTATCTGGTTGGGATTGCAATAAATATAGGTGAGTCAATTTCTTATTGGGTAAAATTATGCAACAAATATTTTATATTTATATAATCATTTTATGGAACATATATTGATTTAGATGTAGTCAAACTATTTGGTTGACATGTATGTATTCTTAGTTTAAAAATTAAATAAATTAATTATTAAGATGAACATTTTAGTTGTAATACACAATGATACCTTGTATTGCAAGTGTCATTATTCTTTTTATTGTTTATTCAATCTTTCTTTCCTTTTCTGTTTACCACTATTTAATAAATGAGTTCTCACTGCTAACTTTTGTAGAAAAAAGAATTGTAAAACTTTTTTAATACAATTATTTGACATTGATACTATTAGTTATATTTGAGTGGTGTGGAATCAACTTTATAGTACAGGGTCATTTTTTTAGTTATGTCGTCATTTATTCTAATAAATTTTGTGACTATTCTTTTTTTTTTTTGGTATTTGAAGTTAAAAGTTTCTAAATTTTAAATTTGTATTTTGTTAATTTTTATTTTTTTTTCACATCCACAACTTTTTATCCTTGAATTGAAAAGCTTTAACATCACAATTAAATTAAAATGCCCGTTGAAAAAAAAAAGAACAAGAACTGCATGTCTGTGCTGCTGCCAATAGTGAAATTGTTTCAATGTGTTGATAATCTAGAAGGAAAAGAATATTAACAATTGCAGACATTGGAGTAACAAATATTATATTACTCCTCCCTAACTATAAGACCTCGTTTGTAGATCTTATAGTTAGGACTAGAGGTAGTATAATTACATAATAAATCAAAAGTTATATTTCACATGGCCATTCATACATTGTTGTAACTTGTAGGTCTGAAGCAGAACTTGTTGACACAGTGGTTGAGGAGTTGTGGACCAAATTACATCCTAGACTACCACCTTATACTGAAGGACTCATTGGAATTGACAATAAAGTGGAACAACTAGAGCCACTGTTGGAGATAGGTTCGAATGATGTTCGGTTTGTAGGAATATGGGGCTTAGGGGGTGTTGGGAAGACAACAATTGCTTGGGTTGTTTTTGAGAAATATTGTAGCCAATTTGATATTAGTTGCTTTCTTCACAATGTTAGGGTAGCTTCCAAAAGAGATGGTGGCGAGGTTCAGTTACAAAGTCAATTTCTTTCAAAACTCAAAAGAAGAAACATGAAAATTGAAAACAGCTATGAAGGGAAGAAAATAATCCAAAACCGTTGTTGCAATAAAAAGGTTTTACTTATCCTTGATGACGTTAGCCATACAACCCATTTAGAAAATTTGGCTAATAGCCCAAACTGGTTTGGTGCTGGGAGTAGAGTGATCATAACAACTAGGCATTTAGACTTGTTACGTGGAGCGCGTGTAGCATATCAACACGAGGTTAAAACTATGAACCCAAATGAAGCCCTTCAACTCTTTTGTCAGAAAGCATTTGGAAGAAGTGAGCCTCAGGAGGATTTGTTGGAGCTGTCTAAAATTGTTTGTGATTATGCAGGAGGCCTTCCTTTAGCTCTCTCTGTTTTGGGCTCTTTTTTCTGTGGAAAAAGCATTGTGCAATGGGAAGATGCTTTGGATATGTTGAGGAAAGATGCCTTGGGAATGTTGAGGAAAGATCCCCATGAAGATATTTTTGGGATACTTAAAATAAGTTTTGATGCATTAACTGATATAGAACAAGCAATATTTTTAGATATTGCTTGCTTCTTCAATGGTTGGAGCAAAAACAAAATAACAAAAATATTAGAAAATTGTGGTTTTAATGGAAAAATTGGAATAACAACTCTCCAAGAAAAATCTATGCTGAAGGAATATGGCAGTACTTTAGTGATGCATGATTTGGTGGAACAAATGGGTAGGAAAATTGTTGTGGATAAGTCTTCTAATTATGTTGGAAACCGTAGTAGATTGTGGACTAACGAAGACATTGATAAAGTTATGGAAAACAATTTAGTGAGTATCGATCTTATCTCTTATTGGTTTCAATATATTTTACATCTTATTAATTTCTTACATGGTAAATTTGATACCATTTTTCTTGTGGCTAATGTTGTTTATCAGGGTACAAATGAAATACAAGGTATGGTTTCGTCCACATCTTGTGACACATTTTGGGATTTTGAACCATTTTCAACATTGCATAATGTTGTTTACCAAGGCACAAAAGAAATAAAAGGTATGGCCTCATCCACATCTTATAAGGCATTTTGGGATCCTGAAGCATTTTCAACATTGCACAACCTCAGATTACTGATGATATCAAGTGATTTTCATCTCCCTAATGGCCTCAAATGTCTTTCTCATGCTTTGAAAGTACTTTATTGGACAAAATATCCTCTAAACACTCTTTCTTCTGGAACCCGATTGCATGAACTTGTTGATCTTAGAATGAATCATAGCAAATTAAAGAAACTTAGCCTGGTAAGATATCTTATCCTTTGATGTTATTGATAGTGTAATTGGTTATGCTAGTTAGCACATCGTGTTTTTTTCAATGATTCTCATATATTTGTTTGTCCAGTGCTCAAAGAATTTGAAGATTTTGGACTTGCGTTATTCCAAAAACTTGATTGAAACTCCTGATTTTTTGGAAATTCCAAACCTGGAAAGATTGGAACTCGAAGGTTGTGAAGAACTTGTTGACCTTCATGCTTCGATCGGACAACTCAAAAAGCTTCAAGCGTTGAATTTGAAAGGTTGCAAAAATCTTAGATTCCGTTGTCCAAAAAAATTGGAAATGACTGCTCTGAAAGAATTTGTTCTTTCTGGATGTCTTCAAGTAAAATTTCTCCCAGAGTTTGGAGAAAGTATGAAAAATCTTGAAACACTTGATGCTGGGGAGACAAATTTAGTCAAACTACCTGAGTCACTTAGCTTATTGATTGGTCTTAAGACTTTGAAATTAAGGGGCTGTAAAAATCTTGTTTGCCTTCCTCAGAGCATTCACAATTTGAAGCGCCTTGTAGTTATTGATATATCTGGCTGCTCAAAGTTTTCTAGATTGCCAGAAAAGTTGAATGAAATTGAAGGCTTGGAGGAGCTCGACGCAAGTGAAACCGATATAACAGAAATACCTCCTTCCATTGGTGGTTTAGAGAAACTCAAGAAATTGTCATTTCGTCGGTGCAAAAGGTCGATGTTATACCCTTGGAGCATGATTCTTCCTTGGGGGCATTCAATTCATAAGGGCTTAACATTGCCTTCTTCAATGCTGAGTATTAAATCACTGAGAGAATTGGATTTAGGCTATTGCAAGATTGATGATGCATCCATGCCAGATGACTGGAGGGGCTTATCATCATTGGAGAGATTAGATCTGAGTGGAAATAATTTTAAGAGTCTACCTGCTGGCTGCATAGCTAATCTTTTGAAATTGGAACGTCTGTATTTAAATTCTTGCTCTGAACTTCAGTCGTTGCCGCAGACTCCGCCAAGTTTATGTATCCTGGAGTTAGAAGAATGTGCTTCGTTGGAAACAGTGGGAGGTGAACAATTATCACATTTCTTTGCTTCAATGGACCAAGTATGTATAAATATCCATATATCATTATAGAATTCTATGTTTTTATTTTGTTTTTATTATACATATATATTCATTGGAAACAGTGGAAGGTGAAAACAACGCCTTGGATGGATGAAACTCTCTCGGTGACTACTCCTGGACGTGAAATACCATCATGGTTTGACCATCAAATTGATCTTTGTCTGGATGAATATGGTAGTGCTTTATTGATGGTAGACATACCTTCTTGGGAAGAAATGGTGGGAATTGGATTATGCACTCCGTTAGAAGGTAAGTTTTATTCCACTGAACCCGACACAAGAGAATCGGCTTTGTCGTGGAGTCTTTATGATTTCGCAGTACATCCCAAAACCACAAGACGATAAGGGCATTTGATTGTGATGGCGAGAAGAAAAGAAAGTCTTGTCACCTTTGGCTAGGGTTCTGGAAACATACAAAGGAATTCTGTGCCTTGGAGTGCTCAAGAAAGCACAGTCAGCTTCCCTTCATTTTTAATGCCGGCCATAATAATGCAAAAGTTTCAATGAAGTGTGGATGGCGTGTCATACGCAAAAGTGATTTTGAAAACAGCAGTAGCTCAATAATGAGTCGAAGTCGCATTCCAATATTGGAGTACCTGGACCAAGTAAGTCACTTCCGTTATACTCATTATTTTCATTTTTATTTCAAGCTACCCCCTCTATCCCTAGTATTTTGTAAGCACTTGCCCCGCATTATATACACGCTCTTTCAGGCCTAAATATAGTTACCATTGTACCTCATTTATTAGTATTAAGAAAATTTGTGCAATTAGTTATTTGTAACTAACTTGTCGAATCCTCTTTTGCAATTTTCATAACATTTAGTGAGATGTATTAATAGTAAGTAAATGTTTTTTTTTTACCAAAGTGCAAAATTAAGCCTTTTCATTTACGAAAGGAAGATAAGAATTAACTAGCTAGGGTATATTTTGATGTAGGAGAGAAAAGGGATGGATGGGTTCTTATAAAGGATTATTAAAGCGAAGTGAGCAAGAGACTTCTACTTATAAAGGAGTAAATTAAACAAGCAGCTTGTCATATTTAGAAAGTTGGAAAGACGAAAAAGATGAGCATTAGTTAAGGATATAAGTGGGAAAATATGATCAATATTCAGATATTAACCAGTCTGCTTAAACTATCTTTTTAACATGTATAGGCTCGATAGTCTTCTTTTATAGATGGTACCAAGAGCCCAGAGATGGAGGGAGTATACATACACACGAATAATAATTTCTCTGCCTGCCTCTTTTCCCAGTCCTTAGTTATTGAAATTTAGGGCTCTTTCAATGTTCAATTGATTCACCGAAATGAAGCCATAATTAACGCCCACGCATATATGAGATTAAAAGTAACATTAAAGTATAGGCGGAAGACGAAAACAAATGATTGTAAACTAACTCTTTAATTTCTGTAAATTGAATGAATGTGTGGCAAAAATGGAGCAACGACGAGAAGTTAATTTGGTTGGTTATCATAAAATGAAAAACAAGCCGGACAAAGTAGTTACGTAGATGGTGGCATGGAACTTAAATTAATGGTAACTATAATGTAGCAGCAGCTTAGTTATTTTTGTGATTTGATTGTGTTGTTGTGATGATTGGGGTTGCAACAAATTGTGCAGTATCTTCGTCCGCCTGGTCCCCCATGTATGCACGTGGGATTTGGTAGGTCCACTGTATTCACGAGATATGGTCCCATGACGCTCCCTCGCCCAGGTTCAGATTCAAGCTCGGTAAGTTCCACGCAAACGCCACCAATATATTGCCTGATCTGGTTTTATGTATTATTCATACTCTACAATAAAATAATGAATTTCCATATATTAACATTTTGGACTCTTTATTTACAACTTTAATATTTTTAATTAAAAATATACTTATAAATAAAGCTTATATACCATTAGTGACAAAATTTCTGTTGCTATCAAAATTAGTGACCATCACTAAATATTTTTATTTTGTAGATTTAAAATACATTCATAGTTATTTTCAAAATAATCAAAATAACTATGATTATTATAAAAAAAAATCTTTATTTCAGACTAACAACTAGGGTTAAAGGATAAAAATATACTTTTTAAAAATTTTATGTAAAAATAAAAGACACAAAAAATTCTTCAATGATTTAACTATATATTTTATATTCTGATAAAATAATTAGAAATAAGTTATTATAATTTGGACTGGAACAATACTTTGATATTTATATGATATTAGTTCTTGACAAAAGGAAAATGCTAGTATCAATGCGTTGCAACCCTCCCCCCTTTTATTCATGTATCTTTGTTTAATAACTTTTAAGCCACGCTAAGGCACGAGGAAATTAAATGTAGTGGAGAGTGTGGATGGAGCTTGATACAAGAATGCTCGAATATGACCTCATTATTTTTATACATTTCCATGTATAATTTTAGGTTTTTGGCACTAATTATTAGTTAATTGGGGCATAATTAATGGTAAGTATGCACAAAGGGTAATGAAGTTATTTTAGAGGTTTTATGTGCTTGGTGTTGTCTATGTGATTTTCTATGTTAAGATATTTAATCCCTTGAGTTCATTGTGCGTGCAGGTGACCCTAGTTGCAAGTTATGTGAATTGACGATAAATGCACAAAAATGGCAAGAAGGACCAATCCAGCAAAATGACGACGAAGGATTAGACGAGTAACGCTACGTTTTGCTGAGGTTCTCATATTCGATTCGAGGTTGCACATGTTCAGATTCATAACTCTCATCTTTGTTTTGTTTGCCGATTTCTCTCGATCCTCCACCTCCGGTTGTCATCTTCTGCATATCCACCATCTTCATCTTCATCTCTCATCTTCATCGACCACAGTTTGGGTCCTCTCAATTCCACCATCTCCTCTCGTCCTTCGGTTGCAATTCCGTCTTCACTTGCTGAGACCCATGATCGAGAGTCCTGTGAACCTCGGTGACATGTGTGTCCGTCCATGAGCAGTTAGGCCTTCCGTTCCTTGATGATGGAGGAGCCAATCTGAGTTCCTCAAGCTCTTGATTAAATGGCCAGGTGTCTAGGTTTGATTAATAATGGACAGATATCCTCCTATCCAGTTTCCGTTTCCAATCTGTATATTTATTGATTATAGTCTCTAGGTCTCTATGGATTGTAATTGGTGCATTTGGTTCAGGATTATCGTCGGTATGTGTAGTCTGAAGATTGATACTTATATTAGATGTTGTATTCTGTGGATTGTTGATTGATTTGTAGCATTTTCTTTTCTATTTTGATTGACTCTCCATGTTCTCAAGCTCTTGATTAAATGGCCAGCTGTCCAGGTTTGATTAAGAGTGGAGAGATCCTCCTAGCATTGGCTGGGAGTCTAATATCAGCTAAGCAACATCTATAATAAAAACTAAAGGAACATAGGTGTCCACGTGAATTTAGGGGGTTATTGGTATTGGCTAGGGATAAGTGTCTTCGCGAGTGATATTGCTTAGTTAGGTAATTGAAAGGGGAACTAGAGAAGTTAGTTAAGTCGATCATCAAAGAAGTCTCCTATCACTCATTCCGTAATCCATTTAATTCGTAAAATGGGGGGAAAACCATTAATACTTAATTAGTCAGAAATTTAGTAATGGACTCCTCAAAAGAGATCGATCTAGGTCAGCATCATTGTAGTGCACAGTTAATCGAGTTTATTCGATAATCCCCACAGTATGACTTGTTAATGACATAATATTGGATCGCAAATCACTGCGTATAAATATTCAAATATTCTTTTTTATATAGAAAGTAAGTAAAAAGAATTACACATTAAATTGTTAAAAAATAAAAGTTACTTAAAAATAATCGTATAGCTTTAATAGGGAAGTCAGTTTTCAAGTCTATGGGGAAAATATCAAATTTTTTTTCAATTGGGTCAAATAAACTAGCTTTTGCAGTCTTTACTTTAAAAGATGAACCATGTTTTTTTAAAAAAAATAATATTTTTTTATGAATAACTTCCTAAATTTCAGAACTGTCATCATCATTATGCTTGGAAGAGGAAGAGAAATTAGGTGATTAATGGTAGTAGTTCATGACAGAAGAAAAGGTGCGTGTTATGATTGTTCAAGCTCGTTTGGTAACAGGAATCAACAATCTCAACTGGTTGTTCAATTGATGGCGCACAAGTTCCTACTCGAAAGCAGAATCGTTCCAGGGAGCGAAATCATGTACTGCTAGTGTTGAGGAAGAACCTTCTCAAGTTCCAGACTTAGCAGACACTGATTTGGTGCAAATTTATATAATAGTTACTGGAAACCAAAGAGAGTATGAGTCATTTAAGACTCTTCCTACTCCCTTATTCACAAAGCTTATGTCAACCCAGATTACAAGATATTTCACTTAATTTGTTACCTTTGCAAGGTTTTGGTACAATAATCATTTTACTAGCTTAGCATTTTTTTTTTTTTAAGCTTATGTGGCTTATGCGTTGGGGATGAGATTGGATTTCGAGATATATCGAAATGCAATTTCATTTATTTTGTACTAGTTATATGCATATACATGCTGATGCAATTCATATTGTAAACCGTAAAATATAGTGCTTTCTTTTGTGTTTAGATGAATACAGGATTATGTATATTCTAAATTATAAGAAAAAAGGAATATGCTGTAATATATATTCATAATTATTATAATATTTTTTACTCATCCAAACAGTAGAATTGGATTTGGAAATAAAATTACTTTCTAAAATTCTCTGTTGACTGAAGCATGAATTTGAAAATGCATTCTACCTCCGCGTGGCAATTTCTTGTCCTTACAATGGTCTCGTTATTTCTCATAATCCACAGTTACTCAGCCTCGTCATTTTATCTTCACCTCCAACTCCTTCATCTTTTTCAAATTGCTCAGATTACAGCTCCTTTCATTACTACACTCAACATCTTCTCTGTTCTCTCACGTCCACCATTTGCTTAATAAGTTCAGCCCGTCTTTTTCAAAAGACTTTGATCATTTTTATAAAGAAATTGAATAATTTAAATTTCTAAAATTCACAAGCTAATTTTTGAGGATCAATTTTATTTTTAAAAAATAAATTAGTAATATAGACAATAGTTGCAAGTTGGATAAATATTAGTTGCTGTTCAGAAAGAAAAGTCATTAAATGAGAACAAAATTTAAAATTGTAGCATATTCGGGAAAGACTTGGAGTCTCAGACTAGATTGACTTGACTTTGGTGATACAAATCGCAGTCATGCGGGAAGGAGCATGGAAACAAGACTTCCAAGCTTGAAATAAATAAGTTGTCAGTGGAAGTAATATTTCCTTAATTTTCCACTCCTTTTTCCAAGTCTTTGGTCAAGAACAGCATTTATGTATTTGCTTTTGTTTCATGCTCCATTCGGTCCGTTAGTTTTTTTTTTTTTTTTGTTACAATATAAGCGTTAGTTGAAGGGTTGATTTAGTCTTAAATATAATAACCTAATCTACCTTATATCTAATATTTATTTATTTTCTCCTCAAGTAATTCTTATGGATTACATATGCTGTCAAGAAATTTTTATCAATAGATAATCCAAATTCACATAATTAATAAGGATATTTTAGAAAAAGCAATATCAATTTCTTATAAATAACTAACTTAACTAATTTCTTAATATTTATAAATTAATTATCTAATTTTTACATTAAAAAAATAAAGATAGTATAATCTAATTAATTGGAAGGAGTCGTGGGGGTATTTGGGCACCATCAAAAGAATTTTTTCACAAATCGAGATAAACTCCTCCAAATATTTATTTCGTATTCCATAAAAATACTTTTAAAACCATGGTTTTAATTCAATCCAAACACTCAAATTTTTTGATGGTGGTGTTTAGACGGGAAAGTGAGAAAATCATCCCATATGTGTAAACCCGAATGTTTTGATTTAGGAAGGATAGGAAAAAAAATTTCTTAAAATTATTTAGAGCCTAAATAAAAATGGGAGAAATTGTGGAATATGAATTTTCAGGACTTACAAATTTTATAAAAAATTCTATTTTAAAAAAATCACTCAAATAATTTTAAATTTATTTTTCAGAGCAAAAAATGACTCATTTTTCTAGAAAATTCAAAGAAAAATGAGTTGAAAATTCTAGAATAATTATTCTATGAGTTAAAGAATCTACTTGAGGTATAAAATTTTTAAAATGAGTTCAGGATTAATTTATGAAATAAAAAGTTATTTTAAAAAAAAATAATTAGGAGTTGATTTTTAACTCAATTTTTAGACAAATTACTTTCTGGTTAAAAAAGCTAACGGATAATATAAATCCATACAAAATATCCTGAATTAATTTCTGGATGTATTCCTTAACTTCAGGAAACCTGAGTGAAGGATGGGTTAGAAACCCCCACAGAATAACATTCAGAATGCTTCTTTCCTTTTTCATTTCCCCTGCTGCTCGAAGTGAAACCAGAGAGAGAGTTGAGAGTTTGAGAGAGACCGAGAAGGAAGAAGTGATCGGAGGAGAGAATCTTTGCATGAAGAGGTGAAATCCAAGAAAGGTATGCCTCCTGAATATTCTCTTATCTTTATTCTCCTCTGATGGGGCACGTTTTGCAAAATGATGAAGATAATAAAATCCTGTTTTAGAGGGAGAAAGTGTAGAGCTCGATGGCCAAGTTATGCAAACCGTGTTTAAAGGTTAGAACGGAGTGTGTGGCTGTGATTCTGCTCATGCATGTGTGTTTGTTGCTTTGCTTGTGTTGGTCGAAGAGAGGGTTTGGTGTTCAATTTTTGTAGCCCAGGTTTTCTAAGATCTAAAGAAGTGAAAAATGTTTATGCATGAGATGTTGGGACTGTTTTGTGATGCTGTCAAATCTGTTGCCCTTTTTTGTTTCGATTATACTGTAGAGTTCTTTGGAGTTAGGAGGAGATGTGATATAAACATATGATAAGTGTTAGTTGTTCGGTTTGATATGGGTATATAATAATTTTCGAATCTGGAAGAGAGAAAAGCTTTAAAAAAAAAAAAAAAAAAGATATGGAAACCGTGAGCTCTCGATGCTTGATATTGAGTCATTCAAATTTTGTAATAGAGAATTCTTTTAAAGGGATGGAGTGTCTTTTTTCAATGAAATGGTATGACTTAAGTGGAGATGAGTGGTATGGGCAGGACCATTTAATTGAACAAAGCTAAGATAAGGAATGTTCTTTGGTGCTCTAAGTTGCCAGACTATAATTTCAGAGTAGAAATGGAATCTGGAAATTCCAGATTAAACACCCTAAGTCACTTTAGAGCTTATAGGAAGGAGGATTTAAATTAATATGAATGGTCTAAGTGTTAATGATAAGCTGGAAAAATAATTCCAGATTTAGAAGAATTGATTCAGATTCAAGTATGAAGTTTTAAAATGATAGTTAGGCATTTCTATTAAAGTTAATTTGATATTTTAGAGTTATGGATTAAAGTTTTTTTAGAAATGAGGAAGGATTTGTAAAGTGATTTGTGGGTATTATACTATATGTACATACTTGTATGGTCTTTTGAATCTGATGATGCTAATTAATCATTTGAGTAAATTGAAAAAAAATTTACCCTGTTATTTTCAGGTTAGAAACCCAGTGTTAGTTATTCGCGGGCATTAAAACGACCCTATTAGTATATAGAATGTTAGCTAGGTGCTGCATTTATGGTATTAGAACAAAGGTTGATATGGACATAAGGCTCTATAGAGTTTGGCTCCATAAGTATGCCGGAACCAGTTTCAGTGCTTATCACTTTGATGTGCACCCTAAACTCATCAAATTTGAACCGTCTATGTCTCATTTTAATGGTCCAGATTTGATTCTTTTTATTTTTATTTATTTAAAATAATTATTTTAATATGTATAGAATTTAAAATAGAGATAATTTCTTTACTATCATTCTTTCAAAAAATAGTTTTTTTCATTTAGAAATAATTAATTAAAGATTTTAAATCTGGACCATCCAAATAAGATATAAACGGTCCAGATTTGATGGGCTTATAGTGCTCATCAAAGTGATGAGCACCGAAACCAGTTCCTAAGTATGCCTACTTTAAATACCGGCAGCATTAAACGCTCTATAGAGTCACGTAAGGCTGATGTGAACACAATGAATCCTTCAGTTGCAGCTTGTATATAATCCTCCTATATCTCGTAGCTCTCCCAAAAAGGAAGGTAGCAGAACCCTCAATAATAATATTTGGAAAACTTTTCCCTGGCCATATCAACTCATCATCAATTGTCTTATGCCCACCCATCACTGCATCAGCTATAATGGCATTTAATTCAGCCGCAGAAGCAATTAAAAATGGGAAAATAACAATCTGACTATTTCTGCTCCAACACAAAACCATTCTGCACTTCAAAGAATTCCAAACATCTACCATCCCTCACATTAATTAATTTACCCTATCTTGATCAAAAAATCATCAAATTTCAACACACTCCCAACTTCGATCACTAAAGCAAAGCTGAAGTATATGTGCAGATTTAATGGCAGCAATTGCAACAGTATGCATATGAACACGGAAGTCCATATCACTGGCATTATGAGCAGCTTGCAGTAGCATGGAGTAGATAATAACATACTGGCAAAGCCAAGAGAATTGGAATGCTAGAAAGGGTTTTGTTTGCCCAAGTTTATTGTGATTGTACATAATGCATTTGAGACTCTGGAATTTACAGAGTAGCTGACTCACTATTAAACACCTTGCAATTTTAACTCACTAGATTCAGTTCTTTATTTCTGCTTCATCTTCTAATTATTTAAATGGAAAGGAGGGGGTTTAGGACATCCAAGATATACCTGTCCATGTTCCAGTTGCTATTTCTTCCCTGTTGATAAGGCTGAGAGCTTTACTCCAGTTATCTCTCAATAAATGCATGCAGTCATTGTATTTTACACGCTCATGCAGACTGGTATAGTGGGAAGATTTCAGGGGGCCTTTTGATGAGCTTTCAAATATTGATCTTCCAATGAAACAAGATTACCGTGCCATTTGCTCATGGTTGGCTTATACTTCGTGCAGTCCTCTTCCTTTTCAAGTTTTCATCATCCATCACCACAAAACAAAAAAAAGGAAAAAAAAAAAAAAAGATGATGCTGGCCCTCTACTGGTAGCGGGTCCTTGGGTTTTGGAGTTTTGCTACAACAGCTTCAGCTGATGAGGCTGGATAGTCCAAGCTATCCATGCATCCTCAGTGCACATGATCATGCTTCGTGAGTACGATTTTTTTCACTCCTCCCTTACTATTAATGGTAGTTAGCAAGTTTGAGACTATATAGGCCTCAATATGGGTTTATATTTTGATTTCCTGGGACAGAAGTGCATCCTTTTTAACTTATTCGAGAGGGATAACATTATATAATCCTTATTTTCTTGGTGGAGCAATCACCATGCCTAAAACGCTTAATGATGGTGCTGTTGAATATGACTATATGAGAATCTCAGGTATGTTAGCTTGAGGAACTGTTTTAAAATCTTTACTATTCTGGACAATGTTTGACTTGTTTTCTCTCTTTATTATTATTATTTTGTTTTTGGGACACACCCACTCGCAGTATCACAATATTCACGACAGTAATTGCAAGAGGTAGCCCCTCGTTGGCGTTATTAATCTCTGGCCATTAATTAGAAGCACTTTAAAAAGCTTGGCCTTCAGGAAACGGGTACTCGACATATAATTTATGGGGTGTTCAGTTTTGTCTTGACTTGTATGAAATTATTTTTTAAACGTTTGTTTTTTTTTAAGTTTAACTAAACATCCCCTTAGTCGCTTGACACAACATGAGATATATGTATAAAGGTCATCTAACAGAATCCGAATTTTAAATTAACTTTAAGTTGTCATAATTAAACGAGAAATCTAAGGATACGTGCGTAATAATGAGCAATAATGTTATGAAGATACGATGGGGTGGTGAACGAGTCAAGTTTCCTATTTATAGTTTAATGGTTAGACTTATTAATCACATTCACATCTATTATAATTAAATTATTAATATATTTTTTTAAAAAAAGATATCGATCAACATTCCATAATATGTATTCACATCCATAAAATGGTAATAGTTAAATCTAATGAAGAAGGCCATATTATTTTTTTTTGAAAAAGTAAATCATATAAATTCCATATTTATTTTATGCAAATAGTAGCTAGATATGTTTCATCTTCGCTGTTGGGTTGACCTCTTTAAATTTAGTCAAGCATGAGATTGAGTGTCTATGGACTATGGATATGTCAGATGCATAGACTCTTTCCATTGGGTGAAGAATAAAAGGGGGGGAAAAAAGGTTTTATCCTTTTTGGAAAAAAAATCAGCTGCATATAAAATTCATAAAAAAAAAGCAAGAAAATGCCCTATTTTCAAGTTTCGTTTGCATAATTGCCCATTGTGCTCAATAGCATCACAGATAATTAATATAAATTTAAAAAATTAATTCATAGATCTTTGTAGTTTTATATAATTTTTAATGGGGTCGTAGTAGCTTTTTCTATTGGTACAATTTCTTCAATTATAGGTATTGGTCATTGTATTAATAATTTGTTAATCTGTAAAGGAAACATTGTTATGAGCTAATGACAATGTTGGCCTAATTAACTCATATCATACATGGACTACTTTTTTCACATAGATCTAAAAAAATTAGATTAAAATAAACTAGACAGTAGATTGTATATAGGTTCAGGGAGACATCTATGAGTATAATAATTTTTTATTATGTTGATTGAAAATAAATTGTATTCTGTCATTTTATTTAAAATTTTAATTTTGTATCTTGCAATAACTTACATGTGACTTAGCATCCATATCAATCAAAATAATACATTATGAGCTAAAGACTAATGTCTATGAATGAGAAAAGCTGTAAGCATCTGATTAAAACTAAAGTGAAATTATAAAGACATACAGTTAATTTTCTCAAATAGAGCAATAAGAAATGTTGCTGCAAATTTCAGTTTCCATTTGAGTTGCTTCATCTCTCTCTGCTCAATGAAAGTCACACCCTCGGAGAATTGTTTTATTCTCCTCAGTTTAAACCTTCTCAACCAGTAAAAAAGGTTTCAAGGATTGAACATGAAAATACCTGTGGACGGCCTTGATTTGATGTATGGAAAAAGAAAATGCTACTTTCAATTTTTAAAATAAAATTTAGTTTGTAATTTAAATTGAACTGTAAACTAAATTTTATATCGAAAATAGAATGCAATAATAAAATCCTCCATTGCATATAATTTAACTTGATAAGAGGTGAATATATCCGTACAGCCCCACGCAGGTAAAAAGACCTATAAACTCATCACCCTAAACCATGATAACAAAGTATGGTATATATAATTGTGTTTCTGTCAATAATAAATAACTATGATCTGGTCAAACAAAAAAAAAAACTATGCATGGTGCACATACAGTATGAATGAATTTAAAATGATCTCAACAAGTTGTAACATCCAAATATAAAAGATGCATGAAATGCAAATTCGTGTTCTTTGATTTGCTCAAAAACGAAAATAATTGCTAATTTTTTACTGATTTTGTATATAATTCAATTTAATTACTTTTTCCTATTACTAAAAAGAAAATTAATTTGCCAACTTAATACTTTTGTTTAGTACTACTTCTGGTCCTAATTATAAGACCCAGTTGACTAATTTAAAGAGATTAAGGAAAGAAGTTAAGTTAGTTATTTGTAATAAATATGTGTTGTTTTTCCTAAAATATCCTTACTAATCAACTATATTTTTTAGAAATACAATTATTAGAAGGACTACCTTAAAAAAATGCATAAATATGAGAGACAAAGTAGATTGGGGTCTTATATTTGGACCAAAATAAAAGTCAAACAGGTTCTTATATTAAGGAGCGGAGGTAGTATGTATTAGTTAGGGGATGAGTCCGTTTCTTGTCCTTAGCATTGTGTCGTGGAGACAATTAAACGTCGTGGAAAGATATATTTAAAAAAAAATTTAAGAAAATGGTTAGGCCGGTAAGATAAACAAGAAAATCACAGAAAAATATTTTACATGACATCCACCATATAAAGTGAATCTTATATTCGTAATGTATGTGTATATATTAGCCGGATTAAATTAAAGAACACGGTCTGGTACAAAAATTGGAAAAGAGAAGTATTTTACCCAATTAGTTTTTATTTTTTTTTAGAAATAATTTTATAATATACGAGATGATAAGCATGTAAGAGAAGTTTTCTCTTGAATGTGTGAAATGGTTTTTTTAAAATTCCCGTCCCTGTGGATCACCCTCATCGGACTTATACAATTTGGCAGGACGTCTTTTAATTGATTTTTCATATGATATAAAAACAAATTTTAATTAATATAGAAGAATAAATACATTAAAGAGAAGCAAGTGGTTGCTCCGTCTGAATTCAATAGATGGAGGTTTTCTGCTGTGTATTGCATTTATTTGGAGCATGAGTGTTTTTGGAATCCAGAGTTTATAATTGTAAATTAGAAATAAAATTTGCCTACCTTTTGAAAATCCCAAATAAAGTTAATCAGGAGGGGAGTCTGAAATCAGAACTAGCTCTTTTTCTTAATTTAAGGGTAAATGTGAAATTCTGAATTGAAAAAAAAAAACTGAAGACATTTTCTCTATAATGTTTTCAAACAAATTACTTTTCCAACACAGCCTATTAGTTTTTTCATGGGAAAATGACATAAAAATAAGTTCGAAATTGTTATATTCTAATTAAATAGAAATCTAAGAGGCCAAAATATTAGGAAAGAAAGTAATGCCTGATATGATATTTTACAAATGTAATTAAATGATAAAAATGCCATTGTATCAAAAAGTTTATCAACAAATTGTGAACTAATAATAACAAATGTTAAGCAACAAATGACAAAAAAATATACTGACAATGATAAGTTATTTATTAATAAGTTATGAACTAGCAATGACAAGTATTGAACAACCAATGACAATAAATATGCTAGCAATGGCAAGTTTAATAGCTTTTTTTAAAAAAAAAAAACTGATACAAAAGCATTTTAGTCATTTGACTGTAGGCACTACTTTCTTCATTGAATATTTGACCTTTAAATGTCTGAATTGAAATATTATAATTTTTAGCTTCTTTTTACATGATTTTCCCTTCCTCAATCTCTCCATTTTTCTCCAATTAACATAGGAAAAATTGTAACAAAGTCCCATCTAATGGAATTAAATATAAATTTTTTTTTGAAAATTATCAAATTATTCTGAAGTCCTAAAGAACCTCATTGCAAAAGAATATATTTTTTTAATTACCAAATTGCTTTTTTTTTTTTAAATTTGCATTGACAACTGTAAGAGCAGTCATTAACAATTTAAGGTGTAAATTTTAACAACTATCACGGCAAGTATTGATCACTCATGCATTACATTTTGTAATATACTGAGAAAATATGTTGTCAATACCTATCGTGATAGTTGTTAATTCTTATATTTTAAATTGTTAATAACTGCTCTTTCAGTTGTCAATACAAATTTTAAAAAAAAATAATTAAACAAATAAAATTCTCTTAAAACTTTAGAATAAATTGATATTTTAAGAGATTTTTTTATATTTAATTTTTGTAGATAGGATTTATTGCAATTTTCCCATTAACATAAACAAGCCATTAGGATGAGTTAAAATCGTATGGAACAGTTAGGAGAGGAATCGGAGCGTTTACGTCAAGTTGACTTGACCGAAGGCATACCCTGCCTCCCATATCATGCGCATGCCTATATGGCCACATCATAAAGCAAATTACAGACTTTGCGCCTTTTCTCCGGTCAAAAAGTGATGAATTCCATTTTCGCTATGATAATTTCGCGAGCATCATGAAAGTAAAGAGCAAAATTATATAAAAACTTAAAACCATTAATTTTATTTTTATGTACATATAATATGCCAAAATTCTGACTTAATTATATTTTAACTCTCTAATTATAAATAAATAACAATTCCATAAGTAGATAATAAAAAGTAATAGTGTGAAAGTTTTTTGCAAAGTTGAAGGAGGTTTGTTGTAAACTTTTAGACTTATTTGGATTTTTTTTTTTTATCTGGCACTTATCGGTAATTTTTCCTTTAAGAATCTCTTATTAACTAAATTTGTATTTGGGCCGTTGGGCCTCCTTCACAATAAAAAAAAAAAGAAAAACTGAGCTGTAAATTTTGTATAAAGTCATGTGATGATGATTTAATTACCACGGAAATGATTGAAGATCAATAATAAAAAAAGGATAATGGCCGTTGACACAAAGTTTATGTGTTCAATATTACTTCTTCAAAATTTTACTGCAGTTCCGCCATATTTTGCATCCAACTCGTTCAAATGTCCAAGAAATGAGTGTCATTATAAGGGAGATAATATATTACTCTTCTAATATTATTTATAAGTCACTTCTAACATATTTCATACAAATCAAGAAAAACTTTAAACTTTATTAACTCTCATTTAAAATTCAATAACTTTATAATTTTAGCCCTATTTAATGTACATTATACCTCATGTAAATAAAGTTAACACAATAATAAATGAAGAGTAAAA